CACACAAAGATTTATGATATTTTTCCTGTCAATACAGAATTCATGAAACGTCACTTGGTCAAATTTTGAATTAGACTGGAGTGTAAATGACTATTTCATAACATGGAGCACCGAGATACTAAAAACCATGTGTGAAGACAGGAAAATATCTAAAAATAGACTTAAATGCTTTTAGATGCTACTAGAAATTGCCTACATGTACAAGGGACAAAAGTATTCAAAAGGTAGAAGCTTTATAAGAATCATGGAAGGATTAACATTTTCAATGATCAACACCTGCGATATCTCAATACCCCACTTACTGCATGGACGTTGTGTTTATGGGTTTTGGCATTGTTTTTTTTATATATGATCACTTAAATGCGCTGACATTTATTATAAGTTCTCACTAATATCCTAAACCACATAAAAGACATTATAGTAGAAAAGTTAATTGTCTTGACATAGCTATTTTGATTTTAAGTAGAGAAAAAGAAAAGTATAAAGATTGAAAGATATTTAGAAGCATGAAAAACTTTAATGCGTTTGATATCTGTAAGACAAGTCACTTAACGCCAAGTGGTTGCTCCGTGAATCCTATGACGGCATAGTAATAATTTTTGTAAATTTCCAAAATTTTAATAAATCGTAAATGGACCTGATTTTTCTTTTTACATACATTTAAACAAAAGATAGGATTTAATTAGACATAGGTCATACTTCACAGCACACAATGGATTTTCCGTGAACCAATGTGTCTGCAAACGTTTTCTAACAACCCAAGAATTTACATTTGATGTAATTTTCTACAAACAATGTATATGCCATTTGTGAAATTGATTTCACAAACATTTTCTCGTATACTCAGGCGTGGAAATATACACAGGGAAACGTGCACCAACGTGACGTTACAATAAAAATTCAAAGACATTAATAAAAAATGTTACGATATAATAGGACAGACAAAAATTTAAATTTCGTGTATATTTTTGATGCGTTTAAACATGTAAAATGTAAATTACACAGACTTGCACGTAGGAATATTTTTTCATGAACCGCGCTTTATGCCTACGTGAAAAGTCTGTGTGATATATACAGTACCCGCATCGTTATTCTTTACAGGATACACGATACGATAGGATACACGCACGATACGATAGGATACACGCACGATACGATAGGATACACGCACGATAGGACAGGATACACGCACGATAGGATAAACGCAAAACACAATAAACGCAAAACACGATACACGCAAAACACGATAAACGCAAAACACGATAGACCTGATAAACGATCTTCACGATAGGATGAACGCAAAACCCGATAGGATTGTTTCAAAATGCGGAACGTTTTCTGACAAGACGAAAAGATTATTTTAAATTAAATTCAAAGATAAAAGATTATTTAAATTAAATTATTTTTTTAATTTAAATACTTGCAAAGCTTCAAATCTAAACTATAAAGTACATTAAATTATTATAAGAAGAACTTGAGATCTATGTGGTAATTTTACAAAAGTTGTTTATTTATATAAAAAATGACAGTGACTAAATGGATTATTATAATTATGAAATGGAGACTGTATTTTTTTTATTTCTTCTCAAGGGTGTAAATTTTGAAACTCTATCAACAGATTTATTATTTATGAAAAAATATACATTTGAATTTTATATCTAATAAATTTATCTACAAGTACCAAGTTATTTCACGGAAGAAGTTTACGCAATAAATTAAATATTTGTATTTAATGTCTAATTTAAAAGCTTACAATCTGCAATGTATCCAAAAATCGCAATTAAATATTAATATCTTAGAAAAAAAATACAAGTAGAAGACCGGCCGAAAGAAGGTTCGAAGAAAACGGCTTTAACAAAATTAATAAATTTAACATGATAAATCTATCAAGAACTAAACAGTTCAAGAAAATTAATTTCCTGAATAGAAATCTAAAGAATTGTTAAAATAATTGCGCTCTGCATTAATACATGTAAACAGTGTCATAAGAATATGAATCTGCTACAACTGCACATGTACGTTTATTACGCTAATCTCTGACTTATGTACATGTAAACATTTATATATCAGATACTTAAAACCTCCTACTTATTAACGAACATTGAATGGTTAAATACTTTTTTCTTTACAATACAAAACAGAAAAATTAATTAGCAAATATTAAAAGAGTGAAATGCGACTTTTCCGACTAAATAATTATAAATCATTGCTATTAAACTCTGTGTGTACTGTTTCTATTAATAACAAAAAATAGGTTTAATTCGGCAAATGAATTATTAAACCTTAAAATTATTTTAGACTGACCCGGTAATCTCATATGAGGCATATTTGAAGGCCGGGATGTTAAAATTCGATAAACAAGATCTAACCAAATAGCCAAATATAATATTGAATTCTAAAATAAAGTTATATACGTATGGAATGAAATCGATTAATACTATATAAAATGATTGTGTGTATTTACTAGTCTTGCATGGTCACGGCGGAATCAGACGACTTCTTTTGTTTTATTTTTATCAAAGATACCGTAAAAAAAAATGCGAGCTAATTTTCATAGACTACATATGTGTTCCTTATGATCAGCTGGCAAACTGTCACAACTTTAGAATAAAAACTTGTGGTGATCTGATTGAATCAGAAAAATTACAAAATTGTCTTGGATCCAGATGTCGTGTTCCAGACCATGACCTCTTCATCTAAAATCATCTGGATCAATGTCTTATGTTTTATTATACAGTGGCTGGAACGTTATTGTTGACAACTTACACGCACGATCACGTTACACGAACGATTCCGCACGATTAACGCACGATTTAACCTGTTACACGAACGATCTTTCACGTTCACGATTCTACACGTTACACGATCTTACACGATTGTTAACGCAAACGCACGATTCTTCACTCAAAATAGTTCAAAATATTTAGGAATCAATATTTTCAAAACGAAATACGACTTAATACTTATTTAAGATTTCAAAGAATTATCAATATTATTTCATAGACTTTGAAGAAAGAAACGGAAAATGATATTTCTGTAACTAAATATATGCAAGACTTAATATTTTAGATAAAAAATAATTATTTCTAAGGTAATTCTCCGATAAAAAATAACGGATTTTGTTCGTTCTGTTGGACGATGTACATGTATGTGTGTCGTATAATTTGATTGAATTGGATATCATGATATGCAGAAAGGGGGATACGATTGAACAAAAATGGCAGCATGGAATGACTTCAATTATAATTACAAATGTTATCCTTATGTTTCCAATGATTCAATGTCTGATAAACTTGCCAATTATTCAACTTTTTTATTTGCAGAAATTTTAAATTAATTAATTACAAATAAGCTCAAGAGATAAACACAGATAATCAAAACTCCCGAGAATCATGCCGTGTCCATGTATATTTGTCGACTAACTAGTTATGTAAGCATTGAGAAATGTTTATTTCTTTGTAAAAAAAAAATATATTTATTTTCAATGAACTGATTTCAAGATTATCTTGACCACAATAAGAAGTAAATAATAATTAAAATCAGATTTTTCAAAAAGGCGTTAAAGATCTAAGTACGGTTTATCACAATATTGATCGCGCTATTTGACAAGAACTGAATATTGTACGACTTACTATATTGCTTGTTTACGGGCGATAATTAGTTCGTTCTGCGTATTATTATGTAAATTGCGCTTTTTCATTTTATTTGGATTTTAATTAATAAATTAAGAAAAACAAGCAAGGGAAATGCTTATTTTACAAATAACATTCCGATAAAAACTTACAAAGCGAAACTTACACGATACTAAACGCACGATCTCGCACGATTAAAAACGCACACGATTGAGTCTGATACACGAACGATCTTGCACGTTAAACGAACGATCACTCACGATACACGAACGATTCTACACGATTGGTTTGTCAACAATAACGTTCCAGCCACTGTATCTCTAACATCAAAACTTTTAATAATTGTGCATACATGCAGATCAGAGGCGTAAACATATTCCTAACGTTATCAGACGATAAACAAGGAAAAACAGATTGCATGAAAAAATATACATATCAATATCCTGCTTATTTTTTATCTATTTGCTTTTTGTGTACGCGAACATCGTAGCTTACCACAAATCATTCTCCGGTAACTCTGCTTCATTTAAGAAAATCATATAAATAGTATTTAATTTTGACAAAATAATTAATACAATTCGATAATTAAAAAAAAATAGACCTGGTGATCGATCTACTTATAATTTCATTTCCGCAAAATAGAGTTACTGTTTAAATGTTGACAATCACTCTCTGATTTACCATGTTATAATTATCTTATTTATTTATTTATTTATTAATAAATCAATTTATTCATTCATGAAATACGCTATCAATTTTTCTCCTACGCTTTAATATTTCTTATATTGATGAAAAAGAAAGGGATAAAACTTTATTTTCTCTTTTTTGGTTGAATTAATCTTATTTTTATTAACAAAACGAAGAAGAAACTCGGAATAGCTCAGTAGTTTCTGTGTTTAGTAAAGATAAAAAGCGAGGGTTTCCGAATATTCACGATAAACGCAAAACACAATACACGATAGAACATGATAAACGATCTACACGATAAACGCAAAACACGATAAACGGAAAACACGATAGAAAACGCAAAACCTGATAAACGGAAAACACGATACGATAGGATACGATAGGATACACGCACGATACGATAGGATAAACGCACGATAGAACACGATAGAATTGTAAAGAATAACGATGCGGGTACTGTACACACCAATATCTGACACAAAAGTTAAAAACAGTCCTTTATTGTAAACATTGACATTTTGTCACACTGAAATGCTGAATCGGCGCAAATGCTAATGACGCAATAATGCATCGATTTGATTGATTGAAATTTACACACCCATATAAGAAATGGATCAGTGTTATAAGGGCTATTGCAGCTGCTTTATTTGCTTTAAGGAATATTTCTTCTTTTATTTTCAGCCTGCAATGATTGCTGGTATGGTTGAGAATGTAAAGAACTTTTACTGTTGAGCCAACAGACCGTGCCATCACGTGACCGGATCTTGTGTTGGACTTTGCGAACCTGGATATTTGAGAGATAAATTAAAGATACCTTTTTAATTGAACAACGTGCGAATCAGAGGGAAATGATTGAATTGCTGAGAGGATTATTTACCTATAAAAGAAAAAAGTGAAACTTAAAGAAAAGAACTCATCTCCAACTGAATTGAAATTAGATAAATATTCTAAAATAACGAAAACGCTACCTTCATTAAGTATTTTTGAAGTGCTTAATATACATTTTTCTTAATTTAGAAGAAGAGTTTTTGTTCCATCATATTTATTCACATTTCTTATTTTGTTTTAGTGTAAAATAAATTTGTACAAATCGTTATGCCTTTCGTTATGCGTGTATGTTAGGTACCGATATTTGTGAAAACAGAATATAGTAGGATTATTGAACTTCGAGCTTGCGAGTGCATTTGTACAGTCAACAAGTGCCAATTTTCACCAATATAAGTTCAATTACTTCTTTTTTATATAGCTTAAAAGTTTCCTCATAATTTATATTGAATTATTCCAACTAAAAGAAACACAAATTAGTGACTTTTTAGTGTCCGTATTCAAATTAACGTCTGTCCTGTACGTATTCAATATCGAATCATTCAGATGACCTTATGACCCTGTCGGGTGTTACGATTTGCTTATTTTAAATTAAAATGCGTCTACTACGTACCAAATGTTTAATAAATAATCTCATTTTTGTGTAAAAATAAACACATCTTACGCAGATGCCACTTTCTTTCTTTTTTAAGCTCTGGGAATCTGACCAGACGACTTTTTTGTTAACAACGGGGCGTCTTATCTTGAATGCATATATTCTGAATGTTTTGGGCATACTCGTATACGTAATAAAATACTCAGCGTTCAATAAAATGTCAAGATATTGAACGCATAAATTCTTTAGATTCTTGGTTGTATTTTATTAAAGACTATTTATCAGCTATATAATAATACATATTCTTGTACATATATTATTCTTTATGCATTGAAAGAGTTGAGCTGGCTTAATAACAATCATTAATTGAAAAGAAGAATGTTATAAAATTTAACACATTATAAGTTGTATTATAAGTCGTATGTTGAATTTTTTTTTGAAATGAGCTGAATTTTTCATTATTTTATCATCATCGTCATCATCTTCCTTTACACCCTTTGGTGTTTAGGGCAGTAACAAACTTCTATCCTTGTCTGTCCTGAACCAGCCTTGTCAATGATCCCAAGGTCTAGATCCGATGCATTGCCTTTATCTTGTCTTCAACTGTCTTTCGCCATTAAGTTCTATATTATTATCTGAAAAATCTAGATTAACCGAATACATTATGGTTTTAATACACAAATTTATAAACACGCGTGAGAAATTTTACGTATAGATTAATGTTTCACTTGCTAAATTGCTTATTGACGAAAATATACTGATAATTTTTCTTATTACATATCTACTTTACCACAACGGTACTTTGAATCTAACTTACAAATTAAATTATAGAACATAATCCTGTGACAATTTCAGGAAAAAAAACCGTTAATAAATTATACAGCCAACGATTATACAAAATACATTTACCCAGAATAGATGGACATTTGGTCGTTAAATATTAATACTTACATTTACAATGTTTTTTACCGAGTTTCTACATTTCTACATATATGTACTGGCACATCGATAGGCGCAGTTTAAAAGCAAATTACGAGCAGGTCTGGAAAAATATAGACAGAAGCGGAGCTTAGAGCATGTAGATTGGCGGAATCAAGAGGATAGTGTTACAATTCCAGAATTTTAAGGTACGACCATGCAGAGTCCTCAATTAGTCATTGTTAACATCACGTGACTTTGAAAGGGTATATATACTGAGACTCTGCAGTCATCTGTTGTTGTTCATCGGATGAAACCAAGGAGAGAAGACGATAAACAGTGTTCTAAGATTGTATAATTATAATAAATAAAGTTTGCAGTCATTAATTCCTCGCCTGGGTTTACCGTTTGAGGGAAATTTGGAAGGCCATTTGAGGTTTGCCAATCAGTGTTAAAGCCTGTCACAAAGAGGTTAACATCAGATAAAGAGGCTAGCCATAATGTTCGTCTGCATTGGCTGACCAGCTGCAGTCCGTCAAGGCCGCAATACTCATTGTCCGTCCTGAATAAGGTATCCTACAGTGAGTGTAGTGGTTGAAGGGTTATCACATATACTGTCCGTCTTGAATAAGGCATCCTACAGTATATGCGGTAGTCCGAGGGCGACTGGGCATTCGTTTTAGACAAGTGGTAGGTTAGGTCTAAAAGATAATTTATTGTTGCTTGCCTCCGATTGTTGAATTGATTTTACCTTTTGATTATTGTTTACGTAGATAAGGTTAGGACGTATTTGTATGTTTCGGCAGTCCATTTAAATCATACAAATGAATTTTAAATCAGTTTATGTTGAACAACCCAAACCCTGAAAATGACCATGTACGATCTCAGTGATTTATTGTAAATACGTTATAAAATTTGGTGGCAGCGGTGGGATTTTGGGCTGCATTCAATCATATAAGTTTATAATTATATGCATATTTTAATTTTTGTGTTGGTTGATATTTATTGAGTTTTTATAATTAATAATTAATATGTCTGAGAGTGATATTGTGAATGCATAGATTACTGCCTTATAGCAGAAGCTAAGTCAGCTTCAGGTCAGTATCAATAAAGAACGAGCAAAGACGGCCGCCAGAGATTCAAGATTACCTGAAAGTAGGCGGACTATCATAAATTTAGGCGAGGGCGTTAGACGTAAAACAGATAGGTCGATAACCCTATCAAGTATATATACTTGACCTGACAACCTTAGCGAAGTGAGAAGAGCTGATGATGGCGAGCTAGATATGTTTTCAGCTAGGAGCACACCATACCATGCTTATTCATCCAGGTATGTTTTCTTATTGTTGAATGATACAAACCTTACAACCCGCCGTTCTGAGAATATTACACCGGCTGAAAAACTGAAAAACGCCATGGTAAAACCAGTTTAATTTGATGGAAGTTCGTCAGGGGCTGATTTTAGTCTCTCTTTGATGTCTGTGCAGAACTAAACGGATGGACTTTGGCTGAGAGGGGGATGTATTTAGCCGTTGCTTTAAGAGGTAAAGCCCTGAGTGTCCTTGAAAATCTGCCGGCTGTAGACAGATGTAACTACAGACTTTTAAGTAAGGCACTTTAAGGGAGATTTATGCCGTCCAGTCAGACTGAATTATATAGGGCTCAGTTGAGGAAAAGAAGGCAAAAGGCTACAGTCATTACCAAAGCTTGGACAGGATATGCGTCCTCTGACAAACCTGGCCTACCCAACTTCCCCTGTGGAAGTGAAAGAAACTCTGGCGAAAAAACAGTTCATTGATGCCCTGAGGGAAAGTGACATGCGACTGCGCATTAAACAAGCCAGGTCAGTGGACTTAAATGATGCAATCAGGCATGTCGTTGAATTTGATGCATTCAACTCCGCTGAACGACGTTAAACGGAGAGCAAAGGGTATTTAAGAGAAGTAAAGCCAGAGAAAAAGGCAGACTAGGGAGATACTATTGCCTCCCTACTGAAAGCAGCCCAGGATATCCAAACAAAAATGCAATCTATGAAGATGAGAATGGAGAAAAAAACTCATCCTCTGCTGGTGTGACCTGTCATTACTGCAAAAAAGATAGGCCATGTGAAGAAGAACTGTTTCAAGTATAAAAATGCGATACAAGGCATGACAAATGCCAACACAGGCCAAAGGCCAGCGCCTATAATAAGTGAACATCAGAATGCTTAGCAAAAGGATAGCACAGCCAACAAGACAGGCATTAGTCGAAAAGCTGGGGAAGCTGATATTTTTATGGAAGCAGTTATTGATGGCTATAGAGTTAAACTACTTGTAGATACTGGTGCAACCCTCAGCGTTATTTCACCAGACATACTACATTCCGTTCTTAAGGAACCGTACCCAAGACTTAATGAGGAGAGCAAGCCCATCCTAATGGCTGATTGTACTGCCATGAAAGTGGAAGGGTCTCTTTCAATTTCCTTTACAATAGCGGACTCAACGTTTAGCCAAACATTTGCTGTAGCCGACACTGGTGTTGATGGTATACTTGGGCTTGATTTTATGACGAACAATGATTGCTTGATTGATTTGACAAACTCTTGTATGGTTATTAAAGACAAGCGTGTAAAACTTGTTTTTGAGGGAAAGATAGTTTGTTGTAGGATAACCTCAGCTGAGAATGGAACCCTTATCCAAGCATCCTTTGGGATGTGATGGATGAGGGTCATTTTCCGAATTAGTCGTAAGGCTACGAAGGTTTAAAGGGAATATCGTGTGATACTAGTCCCCGTGTACCTTGTTTTCAAGAAATCAAAATAAAACTATTAACAGCACACTAAGTACAATTCTCAAACAGGTATATAAGGCAATACCTGGCCATATTTCGAGTCAATTTAAAGCATATTCCATAATAAGTTACATATTTTAGATTTGTTGTCCCAGCGGTGGGATAATAGAAAAAATTTTGCGAAAGTAAAAAAATGAGAGGTTATTTAAACCCTCGTAGCCTTACGGCTAATTCGGAAAATGACCCTCATCCATCACACCCCAAAGGATGCTTGGATAAGGGTTCCATTTTCCTTAATTGAGCCGCCAGGCTTACTCTGGTTTAAAGCCATAAAGACAACAAATCCAAAAAATGAACTAAAGAAGTTAAAGAATAACTAATGAGCTAAAGTCAAGAAAACATTCAGTTTAATAATAATAAGATAATGAAATCATATATGAAATCACAAAATATTATCAGTTTTTTATGATGTACATCATTAGATAAATTACCATTACAAGCTTTACCAAAACACATAACTACATAACGTACAAATATACACTTAATACTCAATGTTCATCACAACATGTCACATAA